CCCCCGGGATGCTCACCCCGGCCTCCCTCGGCAGGTGTTGCTCCAGCGGTGCGCCTGCCCGGGCGGCTCTGCGCTGCGTCCTCCTCTTTTCATGTGTGTTTTTAAAAACATCTCCGGCACATCTGCTCGACATGCGCTGCATCTGCTCAGAGCGGCGCTGTCCCAGCTGCCCTGGGCTCGCATCGCGGCAGTGCTCGGCAGCATCCTCCTGTCCCCGCCGCCTCTCTTGCTCTCGTAGGCACCTCTGCCTCGCCATCCGGAGGTGGCTTTGCTGTCCAGGTCCTGGTTTGAGCTGAGGCGTGTGTTGACCCCTTGTGGGGCACCGTAGGCTGGGTGACCTCTCGCTGAGACCTCGTCTCGTCTGCAAGTCAGTCAGGCACTTCCACCACCTAACGACATGAGATTGGGATTGGTGTCACCTGCCTGTCTCATGGGGAGTCACGATGCTTAATTAACGTAACCAGCAATAATGTAGCAAATCCCTGCTGTCCTGTCAGTAGGTGATGTGTGCAGCGGAACTCTTGGATTGATGGAACCAAGCTGGTAACCGAAGGAGCTGTGGCTTGTGCCAGCAATACAAGGAACTGCCCCTGCAGGTGAACAGGGGCTGTTCCAATGCTGAAAGAACTGCCAGAGCAGCAGAGAACCTGCACTGTTAGACACGCTGCTTTGTATGTTCCCCTTTCTAGAAAGTGAGGGATTTGTTGGAATACCCCAGCAGACTTAACACATGCTGTAAGGACAACTGCTGGTAGGAAAATTTCCTGGTGCTTTGCTGCAGCACTGAACACCTACTGCTGATATCCTGGTTCCCTGTAGATCCATTGTCGTCTTGTTTTGAAATACTTTGGTTAAGGGGAAGGCTATTGCATACTCTCTGGCAGGTAGAAATCTTGTCCTGATCTTAACCCACAAAGCTGGCGTTCAAAACTTTTAAATTGCTTTGCCAGTTCTGCACAGCAGACTGTATTGTTTGATTGTTTGGATGAATTTTCCCCCAGTTATTAACATGTACCTGGTAAGTTCATCAGCAGCCTGGGGATGACTTTTATCTCTAGAGACAGAGGGAAATAGCTTGGAAATTATAACATTGTAGTGCCAAACTTCTTTGTTGGTGTTTTTCCAAAATAATTAAAAAGATTCGGTATCTTTGTGCTTCTATGCGATAAACTAAATTTGTCCCTCAGTAATGCTTTTGGTTATAGTGAATTATGGATGTGTATCTTGGAAGTAAAATCTCATGTTGGGACAGTATTGGAATGGCTCAGAAACTGACAGGATTTGTTTCACAGTTTGCAGTAGGCAGTACTTGGCTGTTGTGATAGCACATCGGAGTGGTCTTGCAGAGTGTTATTTCAACCGAGCTTTGAGGCAAATGACTAAAGCATGAGTACGTGTTGGGAAGGGTGTACAGAGTTCAGACCAGAAGGCTTTAGGAAGGTAAACTGGGGAGGAAAATGAAAAAACCTTATTTTCTCACTTGCCCTTTTGATATGTAAACAAAGCACATTTCTGCTCTGTCTGTATCCCTGACGCAAACAATTTACTTCTCCAAAGGCAACTAATGCAGGTGTGAAGGTATGGGGAGCTGGAGGGACAATAGGACTGGGAGCTGTGACCAGAGCTGCACCTGTTTGCCATTGCTGTAGAGCTGGGAGGGAAGGGCGACTGATCCTCCACACAGCTCACAAAAAAAAAAAAAAAGATCTGCAAGCCTTCAGTGTTGGGAGGAGCAATTTTTCTCACATGTCTGTCAGTGGTTGTCACGTTGCTGTTCCTCTGAAGGAGGGCACCATGCTGCTCCATGCTGGCTGTCCCGTGGCCCAGGAAGAGCGGCTGGAATTGATGTCTTGCAGCAGCCTTTGCTGCCCAGGAGCGTGGCCCTTGCACAGCTAGGGGTGAGAAGCAGGATGGCTCTACAGATGGTGGGCTCCCTCCAGCAAGTCTCTTGCTGAAGGGAAGGGCAGTGGCCATCAGTCTGGCCACAGCTGGGTGCTCGCCTTGGGGCCCAGCCCTTATCTCTGTACTGCAGTGCCTTTGCTGCGTAGATAGACTAGGTCTTTGGAGCCAGCATGGATATCACTGCCATGATGGGGAGATTTTCTGGAGGGGCAGCACCTGAGGCATAATCAAATTAACCAGAGGAATTGAATTTTCTGTAGTGTATGTCCTCTTCCAGCACACTGCAGCATCAGCCTCAATGAGAAGAGCACCAGAAGAGCACATCTGAGAGTGACAGGATTTTTCTTGCCCCTCTCAAAGTGATGGCCTTTGTACAGTACTGCAGCAGGTGGTCCTGACTGCTTACACACAACTTGCTCTCCTGTGCCTCCCCCTCTTTCCTTCCTTAGGACACTCTTTAAACAAGAGTCAAAACCCATGAACTCCAAGCCTGATGTACAACTGATAGCGGGAAGGAATCACGCAAGAAGGCATGGTCCATGGAGAGGATCAAGCTAGGACTGCTTGTTTGTGCCAGCTGCCAGATATGCATCATTGCCTGGAGGCTTGGAATGTCTGCCCAGTGCACACAAAGAATCCACAGCATTGTGCAGAGCTCGTCAAGCTGTGGTCTCTGATGCTGCACAATTCCTGTGTGCTGAGCGAGGAGCATGTCCACAAATAAACAAGTCTGGTGTCAAAGTACCTTTTAACATATTGTGCCAGGTCCTCAGCTGGGATAAAGCTCTGGAGCCCTGCTGATGTCAGAGTCTAGACTTGCATGGCCCGGGGCTGTGGCAGGGAAGATGCATTTGTCTGCCATCCTGTTCCATCTGGTGAGCGATGCTCACTCTGGTTGGAAGTCACCTTGGAGGGAAGCTTTCACTGCTTACTCTGCTAGGCAAGCAGGAGCATCCTGCTTTGAAATTGTTATTCTTGATACTGCTCTGACTAAGAGTTGATTTTTCTCCATAAAGCTATGTGGGCTGAGAGCCTGCAGTTAGAGCACAGTACTGATAAATAGCATGTTTGCTTCATGGATATATGAGGTTTAATTCCATTTTTGTTCAGTCATCACTGGTCCCACTTTAATAAAAGAGCACTTAGTGATTTTTGTCCAGCTCCCCCCCCACACAACACTGTTGTCTAAGCAGTTTTTAGTGTGAGCTTGTGGGAGATAGCTCTTTCCCTAAGGACCTTTCTACCCAGCAGGCACCATGATTGCAGGAGCTACAAGTGTGCAGGAGATGAGCCTGGAGACATGCAGTCATTCTGACATTTACGTAATGCTCCTTGCTCAGAGGGACCCTATTTTGTCCTTAAAGTTAGGACTAAACTTAGTGTAGAGCTTCACAGCACTTTGAGGAAAACAGAGCATGGGAAATACAGATATTAATTGGCTGAGGGTAGATCTCTTTAGGGGGAAGTTATAAATGGTATCAGTGTGTCTTTTAGAGCAAGATGAACTAGGGACTCTCATCCCTACAACATTCTCTCCACACCTGACTTGTACTTGACCTAGCACAGCCATACATGTGGGAGACAGGTGAAACCATATCTTAACAATCCCCATCCCTTCCCTTTCATCCTCTGGTGTATTTGCATCTTTAAACAGAGATAGCTGGGTTGGGAAAGGATACGTTGTTTTGACAGCATGAAGGAAGAGGAGCCCTCAGCCTCATCCCTTCTAGGGGGGAAGCAGCAGCATCCCTCTGAGAGCATCCCTTGTCAACCCTCAGGAAAGATGCAGGATGTCACCAAGACAGAATACAAAGCTGACTTGCAAAAACTGGGCAAAATACCTGAAAGGTACAGTCTGGAAAGATATTCACCAGCAAGAAATATGGAATAGGGCTGGAGAACTGGATGAGTATCATTTGTGTTTCTGAACAGGGGCCAAACCACACGGATCCAGATGGATATGGATACCTGATGTAAATCATGTTGCATAGAGACTCTGCTCTATGGGCAATTGTAGCAGTAGTAGGTCTAAGCATAGTTTTAAAGGTTTATTATTAGAAAGGGTGCTCCATAATCCTCAATCTTTTTCTGAAAACAAGAAAGCCAGATCACCCTGGAACTATTTCAGCCCTTGCTTCTTAAAGAGAGGATGTATTGTTTCTGCATTAATGAATGAAATGTTAGCAACCGTCTAAGTTAGAAGTAACTCTTATGGTTAATTTTACTTTTATGGTTTAATTTTACTCTGTTTATATGCAACGTTGTTGCTTTCATTGTAATTTCCCCCATTACTTAAATGCATCATAAATTGGGATTTTATTATGCAGGAAGATTGTAGAAATACATATTCAGATAATGAACTGACAATTAGGGAAATATGGCACTACTATAAACACCAAGCCAGTGTAAATGAATGAAAATATTTCTAAACATCTGAGCTCACTGAAGAAGGAAAGAGAAGAATCACCTTAGCAAAGCTTAACTGGGTCTTAGTAACATTTATGTCAGTCCCACCTTTTGGGAGAAGCCTAAAAACTTTGGTCCTACTGAGCAAAAAGCTGTGCTGATTTATGCCAGCTAAAGCCCAGGCACAGTGTTACATGCCACGATTTATTTTCTCAGACGGAACTTGCACATTCTTGCTGTGACATTGGCATTCTTTGCCGTAGCTGTTGCTAGGGGAGGGCGGGCTAGCGGAGCCTGCAAAGTGCGGGCTTCTCTCACGCTCTTCCCAGTGCCAGGGAGGGAGTATTAAGCAGGCAGCGCTGATCACTGCTGCAGGCAGTGCTGTGGATTCAAGGCTTCATTAACCCAAGTGTATCACTCAAGGC